TTGTATCTAACAAACTCTTAGATTCAACCTATAGCTGATAAGGATACCAATCATTCAATAGCTACACACCATGAGGGAATTCTGAACACTCTCGTACATTTGGATGTATTGATTCTATTCGACACAGATGGAACATCATGACTATAAAAAAAAAGTGAAATAACTTAAAGGCGATTCTGGAAACATTGTCCAGAAATAGCAAATGATTCATTCTTCAATATCGCTAATTCACTTAATTAGTTTTCGTCTATGTTCAGGAATAGTAATAAATATAATCATATACTTCCCTTTACATATATTCATGGAATTAAAAAAAAGAAATCCACTGATAATGTATGAGACAAAAAATTTGATTTATGCTTAATCAATGGTATAAAAAATCCGAAATAAACATTGAGAAAAAGTTATTATAACACATGCTAACATAGTTAGAAAAAGAATTATAATTGTCATAAATATAAAATTTTTATAGTAATAATCAGTATAAAAGTTTTTTTTTTTTTTTCAACACAAACGATAATATCACTAAAACACTATAATCACTTAAAATATACGGCTGAAGTTAGTTGCAGAGCCATAAGTGGTCACAAACATCAATTGAAAAATCTGATACAGAAAGTGATGATAACTGGACAAAATAATATGGCTGAACTATGGCTAATAAAACAGAGGAAGACTGCATATGAATGGATCAAACAAAACAATCTTTTTGGAATACTAATAAAAAAATATATATCCTTTCAGTGATGGTTGCAAAAAAAAACTCATACAGCTACCCTTACGACTAAGCCTTTGTGTATGGATGGGAGTAAATAGGTGCAGCCGATTTCAATATAGGAGTAAGGCGAAGAATGCAGCGACTTCAACAATTTCAATTGGAGTAACTCCAAGAAAGAAGTATAGAAAGATAAAGATTAGTCTCAAAACATTATTTTTATGCGATGCGGGTTTTTATGCGATAAAATTAGAAATCCGTATTGTCGACAGACGAATAAGGTAGAGGGAAGTAAATAAATAAAAATAAATTCACCCCAATCGATGAATTTACATGAAAATTATTTATTACGAAAACTAATGTTAGTATTAAGTAAAACCATTGTAAACATGTGATTTAAGAAAATCTGTTATGTCCACTCACACGATTTTCCTACCGATTTCAGGTAATTTTTTATATTTCTAAATATATGCCTTAAGAAAAAAATTAAATTACATTTATTTTCCTGAAAATTTATCAAAGAAAAGATTTGAGAACGATTTCTTTCCGAAGATCAGTGTAAGACAATCAATACACTGAAACACTGCTAATCAAAAACTGTTTTGCAAGTACCCAATTTCGTTAGACAATAATTTATGTTAGTGTATGGAGAAAAGTGAAACTTGTATGATGCGGGCACCAGATTTTTTTTACTTTCAATTACTTTTCTTTTTTCTTTCTCTTTCACCTCTTTCACCCCCCGGGATTTGAACTTGTAATCTTACATACGAAATTAAAGCAGCTGTAACTTCGTTAATAATTGACCGAAATGAACGATTTGTATATAGTTTTGTAGGTAATTTAATTATATTTCAAAATTTGTATATGAATTTTACCAAGGAATATATTCTTAGTGTGTTAGACTCCAAGACTCGGGAATTTAGTACATGTACGAAAATTAAAAGTACAATAATTAGGAAATTATAGGAAAGTTTCATCAAATTAGTTAGATAATTTTTTGGGCTACAGTCTATGTTTTTCACTTATTGCGTAGCCGCTATTGCGCAGGGAACACCCGATTTGTGCCACAGGCATCAGTAGTCATAACCCTACAAAACAACAAAAGAAGCAACAAAATCAGTTCTCGAGATAATCTTGACACAGAGCCTGTCTGTCTGAGTTGGTCAGTGACAGACCAATGGATGGAAACGTATTTTTCGGGCTCAAGGGTCTCGTAAACTTATAGATCTGTCGAAAACCGCACACCGGAAAATTTACCTTTTCTAATGTAGTACATGCAGGAAAGTAAAATAAAGAGTTTATTTTAAGGTGTGTCGTGCTTTATTAAGTATTTATTTCATTATTTAAAGTTAAAAATAACTTTTTTTTCAAAAATATTTTTTTAAAACTCAATCAACTCATATACATGACCATAATAAGACCTATTTGGACTGACGGAGTTGAGCTTTGGAGCTCCACTAAACCGTCGAATTCGTATCGAATCCAATCTTTACAATCCAAAATCCTTCGTAAAATCATTAATGCTCCTTACTTTGTAACCAATAAAGTAATCCATAATGACCTGAATATTCCATATATTTCCGATTTGGCCCAATCCAGATATATATTCTTCCATAATAAACTTCAGAACCATCCTAATCCTCTCATTTCTAATCTTGCTTCCTCCTCGATCCCTGATAACCCTCCTAAGCGTCTGAAAAGAAAATGGCCTCGTCATCTCCTAACTTAGATACTTTATTAGAGTGCTACCATTGGGTAGATTCTCTACAAGCTTTGTCATGTCATATTTTTCTTTGTATCACATTTTCTGAATGTATATTGATTTGTACAGTTGTAAATTTCATAAATAATAATATATAAAAATAAAATTCAATCATAACACGGACATGTCGATCTATGTATCATTGGCCTAATTTATCAATACAGTTTTTCAAAAATGTTAACGACTGACCGTGTAATCTTTTTTTTTAATGTAACCATGTCTTTAAAAAATCTTCTATTAGACTTTATCTACTTCTTTATGACCCAAAGTTGCTTGTAAAAAAAACTCCTTTGAAATGTAACTAGATCGACCCGGTCAGCGTAGCTAACGATGAAAACCGGAACATTTAAATGTAAACCATGTTCGGGGAACTGCGATAGTAATTAGTTTGCTACGTTTCATTTAAAATTTGTATTAAAGTGGTCCCTGAGCATCGATATCATGTGTAGGTGGACCATGTCCCGAACTAATAACTGACCATGTAGATTAGAAAGTATATGAGGGGAAATCCGAATGATGAAGTAATGGACCCACAATGGTAAACATGTTTGAAATCATCCACGCAATATAATCCACTGGTCCGAGACCTACTGGAGCGTAACTTCGTAGAGTTCTAAATTACAGTTTTGCCGGGGTATGATACAAGATGTATAAAACCAGATTCTTGTTCCGATCTCGATCTAAGATAGCTGGATTCTTTCATGCTATTTAATGAAATAGGTCGCTCTTATTTCTCATTTTAGCCTCGCCATTCCTTAGACCTAAGGAATACTTAGCATTCGTATATAATATATGGGGATTTTTAAATCGATTCAGAAAAAAAGTCCTCGCTTTTTTGAGAATATTTTTACCGCTTGGAAAAAAAAATGTAATTTTTTTTTAAAAACCGTATAATTATGCTTAGATATTTTATTTAAAAAAACATCTTTGGCAGAACATTTCTTCTTGTTTTATATATTTAAATCATTGGCAGTCTGTTTCCTGATGGGTGGGACATTTTAATGGTTAGGTCATTAAAAAAAAAATATTCAGATAGCACTAATCATGTATCTTATTTACTTTATGCAAAGTATGTAAACTGCAAATGAAATAATGGCAATAAACAAGTTTTAAATATTACCTGTTTAGTATTTATTATTACATTTTTTTAATTTAAACTTGTGCTAGAGTGTGGATGTGCTCTCTGAACACTATTATAAATGTCCTTAATTGTGACAGATTGTAATATGTCTGAATAAATAAATAAAAATAAAAAAAACTTATGCAAGTGTTAATTATTTACGTAACGAAAAACTGGTAAAAACTTTGCTGGTTTTTTTTAGTTATTTTAAGATATGGTTAAATTATTGTATTTCGGCGAGTTGCTGGAATCTGAAAAGAACAAAGCTTTGGAGGATCATGCTGTATTGGCTAGCCCATTGATAAATGCTATATGCAGAAAATGATTTAAAACCTTACGACACGGAGAATTTTCTATACTCCTTCCAGAAGTCAAAGAGCCAAAAATCACCTGACATTTATTGGACGAATTCTTCAAACATATTAACGATGTGATATCCAATAAACTGGTTACACTAGTTTTTGATATAAAGGAAAAAGAAAAAAATACCAAAAGAATGGAATACCTGTCTATATCCATGACTTATGAAAGAAATATTATAAAATTATCTCTCAGAGTATTATTGTCCTTGTAATTACATATAATGTACTAGCATAATTCTTAAGAAACTAAATTTGTTTGAAGAAAGAATAATAAGTATCTAAATGGCATCGAATGCCGTAAAGCCACTACGATCCAAACTTTTGTAATGCAGTAACTCCTTGAAAAAAGTACTGGTATTGTAAGATTAATCTTATTGATTTACCAAAAATATAAAATTGATACAGTTGAAAACCATTGCTCTTCAAGCGTTTTAAACTCCTCACCAATTAATGAGGTTGATAGAAATGACCCTTGTTGGTGACAGCTAACAAATCAAAAGCAGAGAATTTTCCTTCTAGACGAGTGAGAGACAAGATGATGCTCTGTTATGTACGCATTTCAATCCTCACATGCATAATGTAGTCAAGAATATAAATACCTTAGAAACATTCTCCATTCCTTTGATCAAGTAGGTACTTATGCAGATAATATCTGCCTGGTTAATAGAAATATGACTGCATTCAAAGTATCTTCCAATATACGTAACAATATAATTACTTAATAACCAATAAACAGTTGACACAACCTTAAGTTATTCTTGATCGGCACAGGAACCATACCTTGATTTTTACAATTATATTAGGAAACAATTATAAAATTTAATTAATTATGACTTTTGCCAAACAATTTATGTCATTTTGCTTATAATGTTCGCCATTACCACTTTTGATTCTATAGATGAGATATTTAAGTAAAAAAAATAATGAAAACGAATAGAAAGAAAATCTTGCTATTAATTAGTTATTTTTTTATTTTCTTGAAAAATATGAGGACTGTATGATTTAGCTGAAGAATCAAACAAAATCATTTACATTGAAACAGCACTCTTCACTTAATTCATCAAAGATCTTTTGAAGTTTCAGTCAAGTTGCCGTGCTTGAAAGTCTTAAAATAACGGAAGTTCAGGAAATATTTCTCTCTTCCCAACTTGCTAAAAACTTTATTAATCAACTCGTTAATTAATAACATAAATTAATTAAGGACGAGTTTTACAAAAGAATTACGAAGATTTACTTCAACTTGCTAAAAACTTTATTAATTAATATAATCATATTAATATCTAAAGTAATTTTTCATGTTCTTGAAATTTTAGATTCTTTGACTACATCAAACGAGAAGGATTATAAACATTTTAAATTTTCACATAGTTTATAATAATAATTATTATATCTGATTGAAAAATTATCTCAACATGTTTGTTTGAAAATTTAATATTAACGTTCATCTGAAGCTAAGTACCACGGTTAGAATTTTTTTTGGTGGAGGGGCGTGGGGCGAGAGCAGAGGGGAATTAGTCGGAGAGTGTTAAAAGTTCTTTTAATTAATACCATTGTAATTTTTAAAAAAATTGAAGAATTTTCATGACAAAAATAATGATTGATAGACCTTATTCTTCTTCAGGTAGTCCATTTATGAGAAGATAGTATTTCCGAGAAACAAACTTTTCGTTTTTCTTTTTTTTTTTTTTTTAAGTTTCGAAATATTAAAATAAAATGGAACAAAAATACTGATGATAAAAAAGTACTCGAAAATAAATTTTAAATGATCTTATTTTAATAATGACACTATAAAATTAGGTACTTTGAATATTTAAAAATCATTTCCACACCATTTATAAATTTATTTATTAAGTGTTTCAACCGTAAAATTAATTTAATTAAAGGTTAATTTATAACTTAATTATGAATTTATAGGATTTGTGATTGTATATAAATTATCTAAATTCAAGGATCTGGGGGATTAAGGAGACAAGTAATATTTTTAAGCTTTTAGGAAAAAAATTCAAATAACCTATACTTACTATAAGGCCGATGTTTATTGTCAATGAACACTTCAATCATCTATGATCAGGACCAAATATTGAATTTGTATGAATGGAAAGAAGGAATTATCAATTTATTATTAACAATATTTCAACTTTTCCTGAAAATTTCCTTATCCTCATTACCCAGCTGGCTGTAATTATAGTTATTTTTAAAAGTTCAAATTGTAGATTTATGAAATTATTTGAAATTCCAACAGGAAAAAAATAATTATAATTGAAGTAAAGCTGATAACATTTAATAACGTAGCTTATGTGTACAACATTTATAAGTATATATATTTATTATTGAAATTTACAACTGTATTAAATGATAGATACAACAAGTAAATATGAAACAAGTAACATGGCATGTACAACATGAAGAGAAACTACCCATTGGTAGCACTCCAATTATATTTCTATATTAGAAGGTCCCGTACATCTTCTTTTCAGATGCCTCTGAGGGTTATCAGAAATAGAAGAGGAAGCAAGGCTAGAAACAAGAGAGTTCGGATGGTTCAGAAGCTTATTACAGAAGGATAGGTATCTGGATTTAGCTAATTGGGAAACAAATGGCATGTTAATGTCGTTATGGATGATTTTATTTGCGACAAAGTAGGGAGCATTGAGGGTTTTACCAAGGATTTTGGATTGTAGGGATTGGATACTAGAGGAATTTGATGGTTTAGTAGTGCCCCTAAGCTCGAATAAATATATTTTAAATTTATAAAAATCTCATACATCTCAGTTTAATGACATTGACTTGGGCAATTGAAGCCGTTCGTAAGAAAATTATGTCTTTATAATTGAATAATACTGCAATATTATTCGAGTCAATCATTTATTTATTTTTTTAAATATTCCATAGTTGAAAATAGGTATCTGTAGGGGAGACTTTTTATTTGGAAATTAGATAACTTATTTAAATTTTATTTTTCACTTTTTATTTTGTTGGGGTTTGTATATTTTCGTCGGTTGGAACGAAACTGGAACATGGGAACGAATCAGTATCCCTTCCCAAACAGAATAACAAAGGACCGTGTAATGCAGTGGTGGGTGGGGTAGGAGCAGTTGCTAATGAATCGAACAAGATGAGAGTGTAAAAATGTTCAAGAAAGGTACATCGCTCCTTTCCAAGCTTGCGCAAGGTGGCGATTTGAGTCAGCTAATAGCTCTGAGTCAAACGACAAGCAATGTGGAACAAGCCCGACCCATGTTTGACTCTGGCTATCTTTAGTCAATATACTGTTGCTCTCTAAATGATGGTTACGAAACGAGCTTAGACGCTAAAAGCAAGAAAAAGAGGATTATGCACGGTCTCTATCTACCTTTCTTTACTTTTCAAATTTACTTACTGCGCATATTTATTTCGTTACTTCAAGATTTCTATTTTAGTTACTTATGCAGCATGGTACTCTAGGTACCCAGAATCATTTTAGCGTGATTATCAAATCTTTAATTCATTTATTAAAATTAAAATAGTATTCATCTTGCGAAAAGATAACTGGTAGGTTTGTTTAAGGTTTAAGTCCTTATATAACTTTTACAGTTGTTGATAATATTGAGTTTCAATAGTGATTGCTTGTTATTCAAATATTTAAAACAAAAAACCTGTGCCACCCATGATGGTCTTTTCTGACTCAGTACGTTGTATGGAAGTGCTGTTTCAAGACAAATGGTTGTGCATGGAGGTGTTCGGGCTCCATTAACTGATCACCCATAACCGCCAGATTTCATTAATTATTTAAGGATATTTTAATTATGAGTACCAACTTTAAAGAGATTAGCTGTGCCTCAGGAAGATCTCCCTAGGGTCGATCTACGGTTAAATTATCTGTCATCAGCCGGATTCGAATCTGGGATCTTGAATCTGGAAGTCAGTGCGTTACTACTGAGCTAGCCTGCATCCCACTGAAATATCTACGATCTCGAAAAAAAGGAGCTAAGATCAAGGTTAAGTACATGGGTGCATATCATATATTACGTCCCACGTATTCCATTGGTGGGGTCTGTAATAAAAACACAACTCTATCCCTTGATTACTCTCAAAATTAAAGAAGAACGATTCACCCCGAGTAACAAACAGAAAATAATATAATTAGGTTGCTATTTCATTTATTGAGTCTGTCCGTGAAGTATAATATTCGGGCTATTATGGGTCCTCGCTTCTCATTTCCGATGTGCTAACGACCGAGTGACCTATTTGCCGCTACAGATCTATGCCAGAATCCTGTTTGACTATTCGGCTCTTAGTTGAGTTATGCCATCATTCGTGTGGTTCTTTCATTATCAAGTCCATGGAGTTGTATTGGAAAATATTTCGTTTTTTATAAGTACTACGATTATGAGAGCAAAATAAAAATTGATGTCTAAGAAGAATTGATAGATATCATTTTATACCTATATTTGGTAGTGAAAATAGAAAGTTATTAATGATAACACTGAGATCAGAGCAACACTGAGATTGACACATATCTAATATATATGTAAGGATAAGGATGAATTGAACATGGTAAATTTAATAATTATATTATAACTAAAAATATTCCTAATAGTATGGAAATAGATGCTATTAGTTAATTATTGATGTAAGGTAATTCAAGAAAATGTTAGTCGGGGGATGTGGTTAACAGTCATACTCATAATATGTCTGGGGTCCACTAAGTCCATTAAGACCTCTACTAAGTTTTTCAGGCCTTGGTTTGAGATAAAAAAACAAAACAAAAAAAAAAAACAAGTTGTATTAAATGTGCTTTCTAAGAAAAACAACCCATGTAATAAATGTTGAAATAACCTCGTGTTGAGTGATTTGATAAATATAATATTTTAAAATTTAATTATATAACCACAAAACATTCCCGAGAGGTAGTTTGGAGAATCCTGTGTTAGAGTGATGTTTGTTTAACAGCCTACGTTTATATACCAGCTACCTTAGGACAGTTCTCCAGTATCAGCGTAGCTGGTAGAAAGTCTTGATGAAGATCTACAACTTACGTCAAAACATAGGCCTTCCAATACATTACACCATCGCATGTGAGTAAAAGTTTACGGCGAAGATCCTCTTTCTCCCCTCTCCCTAACCCAGCTTCATAAATAAACAAGAATGAAAGCATCAGGCAATTCTGGGTAATCGCTAAAGGGATGTTTACCCAGTAACAATTAAAAAAAATTAAGTTGAGTTGCATGTTTGGACAATATTAATTAGAGGAGATAATTAGTAAAAACATTTAATTAAAATTTATTACAAACTACCTAGATAGTTGACAATTATATCTAATTATAATTCATTAGTCCCGTTGTTTTTTTAATGTCTAACGAATAGAACGTTTAAGATCGATAATTGTTTATAATGCTTAAATTGTATGTGAGTCACTAATATATCATTTTCAATCCACCAATTACATCAACAAACATCCAATCAAATGCAAACAATCACTACGCAGTAGTTGATTCGGACAGCCGTGAAAACTTTAGCCTATTTGAAAATTGACAAATTGTTAAAAAAATTAAACCAATACTTTGCTCTCCCTAACCCTATAATTTGGCCATTTGAGGAGAAGAAGGATAAGATCAGCAAAGAACTGCCAAGTCATAGGCTCCGCAGAGTCCTGAGAAACTGAATCACCATAGTCATAGGTCCATGTCTTTAGGCCTCCGGGATCCCATGTTCTCAAAAGATATATCTCTTTATTCTGCCCTAAAACAGGTAAAACAAAAACCACCTCCAGAGTTTTGACAGCTTTTCAACAGTTCAAAGTGCCCTGGATTGAGGGATACGCGTTATGCACTCTTCTTAAGAAACTACCTCCAAGCTACTTAAGAATCTACCAATTGTCATTTATTGCAATTACTTTTCACGTTTTAATTTCTGCATATAAAATAAAAAAATGATGCAAAACAATTATTTAACTATTAAATCTTTTATAGTAGTTAGTCAATTTCCCGGTCGAATGCAAATTTATTTGCTCCCTAGTATTAATATCATTAGATGGGATGTTTAACGTTCTTACGTAATAAACAGAAAATGTAATGAATGAGAACGTTATTACGTTGGTTCCAGAGTAACCACAGGAGGGTCTTTGGTTGTAAAAAAAATTGTATTATTTTTATAATTGCAACATTGTATCTAGGTTGACAGCTAAGCAAGGAAGTGATTTGAAAAGGAATCAAACTGATATAACAGAATAAATAATTATGTGCTACCCAGCCCAGGAGAACGAAATTGGAAATGATCTAAATCTGAAGTAATATCGATGAACTCCAGATCAAAATGCATTTTGCCGATTTTGTGAAAAAATTTAATAGGATCGGAATTGTAAATTATTATAGAAAAAGATTTGAAATGATTTAGACTATTTTTTTGTCACTGACATTAGGAGTACACGGTGTGTCCATCAACTATTTTGATTTAAATTTTACTGGCGATTCTACATTGAATACAAATAGAATTTTTAAATGATTTCATTTATATTACTAGTTTGAAGAAATATCGACCAGGTCCTAACACTAAAACACTTTTTTAACAAAAATATCAAAGAAATATGCAATTCTCAAATACGATAGAAATGATAAGTTGATATGAATAAATGGATAAAGTGTGGATAATGTGGATTTTTAACATTTCCTCTTTCTATACATACAAATTCAACATTTCCTTCATAACCGAGTTGGTATAGATGCCCTTGACGATTTAAATGTGTCTTTGAGTGTATACTGGTGATTTATATTCAATTTTTTCATACCGAAAAATGTCAGTTAAAACGAATAAGAAGTATATAAAGAAGAAATATTATCCATTTAATCTTCCAGTGGATTCGAAATGTGTAAAAGCCACTATTACTTTTCGTTTTGAAGCTCTGTATCGCATATTTATATTTCACTTGATTTCCGTGGAAAAAAAATAGCTGTGTAAAAAGTATAATTATTGATTTCCGGAAACTTTTGATTATTTATAATAAAAATATCCAATCATAATAATAATTTGATATGATTAAAATATAGTTTTAATAAGTTGAAAAAAATCTTTCTCTCTAGCTGAAGTCTGTGAAACATTTAAGAACTTTTTTAAACTAATGTTTAATTAAAACAGAATAATTTAAGCTTATTAATTTAAAAAAAAATATATATTAATCAAAATATTGAAGTATG